TAGTCATCGCTTGGCTTGTCAGCCTCCGAACCTGCCAAGCTCTTGAAAGACCAAAGGTATGGACGGTTCACAAACAGAATTTTTAAATCTGGACCACATCAAAGGCCTGAATAGGAAATCACAATAAACTGCCGGGAATGTCAATGAACCGACGGAGGACAACATGAGAGGAGAACTAGTTTGGTACTTTTCTTTAGATGAGTACATAAGTTCATTTCAGAACTGGAGGACAATTTAGACACTTTTGAAAAGCGGATTGTTTTCTTTTCCATTTTTTTCATGTTTGCAGGAAAATCAGTTCATAAACCCTGCCTGCAGAACGACAAAAAGGGAGTTATCCCACTCTAGTTCTCAGTAGTTCAATTATCACTGATATTGTACTCCCATTAATACATTGTATTATTTTCCTTTTTCATTAAAAATAACTTGTCTCTTCCTGCAGGTTAGTCGTCTGCCAACAACAGATGTTGGCCCATTTTTCATTCCATAAATGTCCCCAACTTCTTCCCCGTGTCAGATAAAAGACAGATAGCTTTATCTGACTCGCCTTTCATGCGCAAACGTAGCGCTCCGACATCAACGATTCAAACGACGCCATGCGTGTGATAGCAATCTTATCTCCAAAGCGCACGTGTAGCGGCGACGCACACGTGCAAACAACTTTCTTGCAAAAACGCCGTTGCCTGTTCAACAGATGTTTAAAAATAGAATTATCTGACCCGGAACCAGGCAGAGGCAGCGTTTGTAGATCACAATGGCATCACGAGCGCCATCCTCACAAGTGATGAGGCACCAATGCGTGATGCTCACTATATATATATATATGTATATATAAACGAACACGAGAATGAAGTGTCATGACACATCCACTACAGTAGGTGGCAGTGGCGCTTTCAATGTCAGAGTGTGCGCAGGGAGTATTAGCTCTCAGTTTTTTTATTTTTATTTATGTTTTTTCCCCCCCCCCCACAAGGGATGCACACATAGAGCACAGAGCACGAGAAATGAAGTGCAGTGAACAAACCCTCAAGAGACATCCTGGAAAAATATTTGACAGGAATGAAAAGAAAGGCGGAGAAGAGACTATGTTAATAATGTTATTTGTTGTAAAATGATCTATCGTTCTTTTTTTTCTTTATGGTAGCGCAGGATACAACGGTATGCAGAGGCATACTTAGAACAATTTTTAAGACAAATGATACTATTCATTGTTGTGGTGGAGAGTTCGGGTAGGGAGGGGGCGCGAAATATGTTTTCCGATTCATATGGGGGTGTTGTAACAGAAAGTAATTGAAAAGTACTGTTTTATTCTCACATGATAAGATTTTCGGTTTTATCCTTGAATCAGTCATTTGTATTAATTAGAAAGCAATCCCATAACATTAGAGTATCCTGAGTATGAGTCAAAAACATAAACTATGTCTTTCTACAAATAATTCCATTTGCAGTTTTGTAAATAAATGCCACCGGCTCTCGTTGCATAAATTTGATAAATAGGAAACAGTGAATTGGAAATGGCCTTAATTCGTGAATAAAGCACCAAATGGGATGTAAACAGACGTACAAAACAAAAAAGATGCTGTCTACCTTGAAATACTGTGACCATGGCCATTGTTCATAGAATCCCAAGGGCATGTTTCTTCCTGGTAGTGCATCACACTACCGAGGCTACTGTGTGCTCTCACTTTTAATCCGGCACACGATATTTATCTAAATGAGCTCATTTCTGTGTGACTGTTCATTGTTTCCAGAATTGATATCTCTGCTGCCAACCATCTGGTCAAGGGTTTGGTTTGACTTGTGCTGAGTGAGCAAAAAGACCAATAGATGGCAATGTTGATCACATCATGGCGGGATGGATCGGCAAACCACTCATGCTCCGTTTAATCCTGAGGATGCTGGAGAGGAGCTCCTTGATTTATTTTCCATGGATTGTCATGTTTATGATTGTTTTTTTTTTCTTTTATCTTGTAGATGTTTTTGAAGCTTCCCGGTTTGGGAGCCCTAAAGGAGCTATCGGGTTCATTTTACAGCAATACTTTACACGAGGGAATCGGGTGAAAATACAGTATTTTGGTAGTTAATGCCCTATATTTTATGTCATCATACCCATTTTCATTACATTTTTATCTTCACTTTTATACTGCTTTCTTTTCCTCAACTGCACGATGTGCTGGCATGAGAATAGAATGGAATACAATAGAACTTTAGTATTCCTGTCACTGGGGAAAAAAAAGGAAATCAGTTAGGCATCTCCCAATTTGTAATCCTGAGGGGCAAAAAAAAACCCAAAACAAATGTAGGCCCACAATTATTCAAAACACAAACAAATGTATTCACATTTGAGAGAATGTCTACATTATGATAGCAGTGTGATTATTTGCATTTAGATTTTTATCAGACAATGTTTCACAGATCTTGCTCATGATGTTGTGTAAAGGGTGTGTAATCTTTAGTTCTTACAAGGGGGTGGTGGGAGCAGATGCATTTCACAGCTTGGTGGTAGAGGCTTTTTTTTTTTTAGCTTTAGGTTTCAAGAATTTGGCGTAACAATGGTGTTGATGGGGTGAAAGGGAGAACAGAGGGAGGAAGAGGAGGGAACTTAGGATCCATCCCTGAGGTGTCCCTTTGTTCAGGATGTGAGTGGAGGAGGTGTTTTTTTTCCCCAAACTAACATTTTAGGATCTGTTGCTGAGGAAGTCATGGCATTCGTTTTTGTCGTCATCCATGAGTTTGGTGGGTCGTGAAAAAAAAAAGAGCATTTGATTAGCAAGGCAACATTTTTATGTACACCTTTGCTTATGAGACACAAGGTATATAAGGTGTTTAACGTCCTTGGTCAGGAAGGGGCAAAATTGTATCAAAAACACCCGTTCGGGCTACAAGGTGGGGGTGAGGTTGCAACTTTGCCCCTTGGCCATCTTAACACCGGCCCTGCTCCATTTGTGTGTGCGGGAGAGAATCAACCCCAAAATGGCGATAAGTTGAAAAGAAACTCGCATTTCCCACTAGCATGACGATTGAAGGTGTCCAAAATAAGCGATATGCCTCTGTTCGGATCTTATTAGCGCGATTTAGCAACGGGAAGGCGTGGAAAGCAATGAGCGAGTGCTGGGGGGCGGGGTTGAGGGTGGGGGGGCTGGCTCCACAGTAGGTGAAGCCGCTCGCTCGTCGCCACCATAACCGAAGCAGGTGTCCAACATGGCGAACCCACGCTGCGGCTCTCTCGCGACTATTCTCGTTTTATTCAGCTTTCAGGCGGCTCTTCTCCAAGGTAGGTTGTCGTCCTTCCCCGAGCTGCCTTTTGTGGATTATGCACTTTCCCTTCATCTTTATACGTGTGGATTTCCAAGCGTATTTATTCTCTTTTTTTTTGCCTGTTTTTTGGGCTCGCGACCAAGCTGGTGGGATGTATGGTACCCGACTGTTCGTAAAGTTGGACTTATTGCTTAAATGGAGATTTTTTTCGCATCACTTTGGACAGCTGGTCAGCCACGCAAACGGGAACTCTGATGTGTCGCATTCTGTCGTTAAAAAAAAAAAAAAAACATGCTCACGTATTGGGAGTTGCGGTCCATCCACTTGACTCAGTTGTAAATCACGGCAATAAAACAAACGCCGGTGCTTCCAAGCGCTTCCTCAATGCAGACGCTTCAACCAAAACGCAGAGTTCAAGCTTTCGAGTCCAAATAGCGTCCAAAGTGTTGCGTATTCCGTTAATGTTGTTGTATTTGTTCGTGTTTCACAACTCGTGAAACAACGAGAAGCTCATTCCATCTCGCTGCTTTCACAGTTTGTGTACCGCATTTCAAAGTTAAAGAAAGAAAAACAAAAAATTGCCGTCCTTTGGTGTTGTGCGCATACGCCGAAGTGGCAACGACGTGTTGAAATACGGAATCGTGTCTTTTTAGTAGTGTGAAATGCGTCTATGTACGCCGCTAAGAAGGTTTGAATGCGGATATGCGTGGATTGTTAACGGGGTTCAGGACGGTCATGGGCATGAAGCAGGCTACTGGGGGTCAGTGTTCCCTTTTACTGCCACGCCAGTGAGTTGAATGTGCTCTGGGATGGTTTGGAATGAACTTTATATGGACAGTATTTTGTTGACTGCAGTGTGTGTGTGTGTGTGTGTGTGTGTGTGTGTGTGTGATTGCAGTATTGCACTGCTTGGTTTCAGGGTCCTCCATCTCATGCATTGCCATGGAGATGTGATGGAATAACAGCAGGCGACGCACCCACACCCCATCACCACCACTCCACACCATCACACTGGCAATGTATTCACATCAGTTATACAATTATGGGCAACTCGTAAACTGGTTTTGTTGGGACGATTTCTGCAAGGCAAGATTCTAAGCGTTAAGGCAGGGGTGGGCAACTTGCGGCACATGGGCCATACGGGCCCGGCCGGTTGAGCCCCGTCATGCAATTTGTAGAAGAATTGCCAACAAATGTTTTCTTTCAATTTTTTTTTTTGTTTTTTGCATGTCATGTGAGTCTCTTAAAACTTAACACCCCTCTTTGTTTAAACCCTTTTTATGCTGAGTTGGTGCCTCATAATGTTGGAGGATGGCAGATGTTTGTCGCGTTGTGGATTATACGGGCGGCTTAATCCAGAGCATCGCTTTTATCCATGAAAGCTCGGAGGCCCGGTTGTGGCGTTTATGCCGAGTGAGCACAAAACTAAACAAGTCTGTGTTGTTTTTGTACTGCTGCAACTTCTGACTCGAGCTTCGTTGCAATGGTTGAGACAAAGCACGGGCGGCATTTGCACAAAGCGTATTAATTATTTAGCCCGAACAGTGCTGACTCGCTTTGTGTTGTTAGCATTGCAGGATGTTTTCCATTCTTTCTTTTTTTTTGTCTTTTCGCCTCAAATACACATTGAAAAGTTATTGATTCTATGTTAAATTTGGGCACCCGAGCTAATATAAACTTGGTCAGGAGATAACCTCCTGCTGAATCTGCTTCAATCGCTGGTATCTTTTGTTACCTCAGCCAAGAAGGCTAAACTTTGTTTATGAGTGGTACATGGGCCACGAAAAACCCATTAGAATTTGGTGCGGTTCCAGAATGTTCATCCCTCTGACTTTTGCGAACATTCGAGGAGTGAAGGCCACATTTTACTCTAATATCCTGGTGAATAATACATGTATCTTTCTTCAAATGCGTCAAGTTTGATCCAGATCCAATTTTTTCCAAACTGTGCGGCCATGACAGCAATTTATAACATTTACAGCACGCTTCTGTATTTTGCAAAACTCAAATTTGAAACGTGCTGTTGTTAGTATTCACTATGAGACTTTTTTTTGAATATTTTTTTTTCGAAGCGATTACTCGATTTTTCATAATTTTTTTTTTTTTGCCATCGTGAGAGAGAACCAATCTGTGTGTCAAGTCGGCTGTATTAAATAGGCGAATATCGATACGTTGTGTTGCGGTACATATTTCACTTCATTATATTGGTGTCTCAGTAACATGGTGTCCTTAAAATGCTCCCACAGAAACTGTCGTTTTTGTGCTCATCGACTCTTGTATGCAATTAATTAATCTCATCAATTAGTCTATTCTAAGTGGGATGCTGGCTTGCGATACCTAATGGGGACATATCAGGGTGAAATTATATTTAAAAAAAACAAAAAAAAAAAACACCCTCAACTCAAGATGAAAGAACTGATTAATTAAATATTTGGCTGTTTAAAATTTAAAGAGCCGTGCAAAATGCCCAGTGGGAGTAATATCTGATGTAGTTATATGGATGGCTGAGTCTTGAGTTGAAGGCTGACTTCAGCAGCTAAAAACACTCCTTGGAGAAGTCTTGGCAAATTTTAATTTTGGAGTCTTGTGGGAAGTGATCAGTGGAGGTTCAAAGTTTGTCGAGTCGTACTCGGGATAGGCATAGTCGATTAATTGATTGTCAAGAATTTGGTGGGTTGTGTTGAATTGATTCATCGTCTTGAAGCAGTGAAAGCAAAATTGAGAGGACTACTTGGCTGCGACGGTGCCGTTGAGTCCGTTTCAACTTGTTTGCCGTCGAAAAAAGTGCAGCATGACATGTGAGTGTGAATGGCCTGACCTGGTGAGTGACGTGGGTGTCGGCAAATGAAAGTGTAGAGTTGCCTTGTTGCTGTTGGCCAGTCTGCGTTTTGAGTGATTCGGCTTGTGTGTGTGTGTGTGTGTGTGTGTGTGTGTGTGTGTGTGTGTGTGTGTGTGTGTGTGTGTGGCATGTGTATGTTTTCTTACCATTTGTTCAAAAAAAGATATGGAAAGTGCATTGGCCTCTGTGTCGCTCGGGGAGACATTAGAACGGATTCGAACTAGCGATGGTTGACTTGGGTATGTATGACGTGCTGTAGATGTATACGTTGCACTTAATTGTTCTTGTTAAGCATGAATTGATCCCATACTTTCTTTTATGGAGTCTTTCCTCCTGGCTTGCTGCCATTGCGCCAACTTATTTCTTCGCAGAGTGGTCTTTGGTTTCCGCGAAAGGGATTGCGGCGCAGCTTCGAGGCAGAGATTCCGATGCAACCTTTTCTTGAAGTCCAATTGTTCGAGTTACTCGATGAATTATGACAGCCCGAGTTGAACAACAATTGATTCTACTTGTTGATTCATTTTCTTGAAGCAAATTGACATTTCAAAAGAAAAAAATACATTCTTCAAACAAGGACTCATTTGGCATATTGTTCCCACTTTTGTGAAAGCGAGATATTTTTACGCCTTTGCGCAAAATCGACATGCAAATTGTCTTATCTGGCAGTCACAAAGTGGCACACTGAGTATGAAGTGCCATTAGGGTTTCAGCTCAACCAGTCGGAGTCCCGGCGATGGAAAACAGGTGCGGGAATGGACTTGTCCGCTGTCTGTAGCCCTCAACAATCACTTCAAGTGTAATGAAGAACAATGGCTTCATTCCTCAGGGGAGAAGGAACCCCAAGTGACCCGACTCACTCCCGCCCCGCCTCCCTCCCTCCCGTCGCCGGCGAGCGTTGTTGGCAAGCCCACAGATGACTGGCTCGGGTCGCATCTGGCCTCTGTGCACTTAGTGTAATCAAAGCGAGCAAAAAGCCTTTACGGCCTACTTGTCAGTGAGCCGTCTGCTGATGGGATGTCAAGTACGCACCTTCCGCTTTCGAATCTCTTGAGGGGGCCGGTTGAGGTAGGGGGGGCTGGATGGCGTGGATGCCAATCTGTCGCTTGGAAAACAGCCTACTTGCCTTGGGCGTCTAATTACAGTGAACAGTTTGACGTTGTTGCATTTGAGACCGTTGCAAAGGAGTCAAAACTAATTGAGAGGGGCTTGTGACATGAATACATAAATTCAGATATGAAGTTAAAATTGATCTGACAAACCTAAACCAGCAGGTGCAACAAAGAACTCTCAAGCGGAATTCATAAAAAAAAATGCCTCAACTCCTCCCTGAGCTCACCAGATCATCACGATCAGCGGTTCTACGCAGAAGATAAAGAATATATGGATGCGAGTCCCGTTATTTTTATCGGTGTACATGGTGTTGCTGTAGCGTTCAATCTGTTGTTTACAGCGTTAAAGCGCCGCAACACAGAAGCTATTTTGGCTTCATCAGTAAGATAGCGGAACAGCAAAGTTATAATGGTTTTAAAATACACAAAGTTAGGTTATCTATTTTATGTTTGGTATGCCAATGCCAGGTGCCAATAAACTTGGCACCTGGGAGGGATAGCATTAAAAGGTTTTCAAGTTTTGGGAAAAGCCATCCGAGCAAATCAAACGGCCATTTTATTTAGTCGGACATCAAGCAGGCTGACTGGCGGTAGCATGTCCAACTATTTTAATTCAGATTTTTATTATTTTTATTTTTTTGGAATGGGACGGCGTTCCAATTTGAGTATTTTGTAAAAGCAAACATGTCAATGTCATCACAGCGCAGCCTTACGCCCAAAATCTCCAACGAAAAAAACAATTTTTGCATTCATCCGAGTCAAGAAAAGTGGAGAGTTGGGAGCCTCCGTCATCTTAACATGCTGCGGAGACACCGGGTGGCATCGGACGCTCTAATTGGACCCTCGTTTCCGGTATTCGCAGATACAATTGTGAGCTGGACAATGAACGAATAAGGAAAATCAATGGCCGTCATTTTCGCTGTCCGCCACATAAACAAAGCATCGGCCGTTATGGCTGTCGTTATCGGAGAGGAAATGAATGTCTTTACAGAGTACAATACTGTCGTCTATCGCCGCACAGTAGGCTCGAGTGAGCTACACTACACTCCAGCTTGCGATACGTTGCAG